TCAATAACACCTCGAGTGGCCGATTACTTATCGACATGATTTCTTATTATCAGTGACAGAAAAAAGACCGTAAGACACAATATACTAGTATCCGATTTTAATTGCCAATTTAAACAATACACACGTTTTTATATGACGCTATCCTTAAACAAACAGTTTCAAAAACACAATGATATAAATATAAATAAATATAATCTGAGTTAAATGCCCTTATCAATTTGATACTTAAACATGACAAACTTGTTTAAAAAACGTTCAACTAAAATTATTTGAACAGTAAGAGAAATTAAGATAGATTACGATGTAATGATATGAAACAACAAAATGAAATGATTATTTCAACTAAAGCAGCATCTGGTTGACCACTCACTGAGTACCGTCAGTCAACATGTAGAAAACAGTAGTGCACTTACACATACATCTCTACACTCTAAAATATCTAGTTGGCGCTAGCGAAAACACGACAAAGCGCCAAACGGAGCGTTTTCGGACTTTTGTCTTGTCCTGTCGCTAGCGACAACACAACAAAGCGCCAAATGGCGCGTTGTTATGCTGTCGTCATGTCGTCATGTCTCTAGCGCGACACACCAAACGGCGCGTTGTCGTGCGGCGCGTCGTCGCGATGTCACCCTGTAGCTTGGCTTATAAGCCAATTTTTCGATTTGAACCGAGCGACAATGTGACATCGCGACAATACGCAGCACGACAAAGCGCCGTTTGGCGTTCCGCGCTAGAGACAAGACGACAGCGCGACAACGCGCCGTTTGGCGCATTGTCATGTTTTCGCTAGTGCCAACGCGACGCACAAAAGCGTACCAAATCAGCCACTATTTAAAAAAAAGTTCAAACCAATGCATGCAGCATATACACTTTACATCTGTTAAGACAGCTTCAAGGAGCATGTGCTATATGAAGAATAAATGATGTCTCCGCCCTCATTGCAGCAACTGGTTGTCGAGCTAAAATAACGCTGACATTGAAAATATTGGCGGTCAGAAACTATTTATTTTTAGGTATTGATAAATGGGACGACTTTGTAAAAAATAATGAAAATAACATATATATGAAAGAAAGATGCATTTAAGCATAAGGAAAAAAGAGCGACAGAGTCTATGAGGACATTTTCTGTCTTGAATAAGCAGGATAGAGCTCAACAAAAGACATATATGTTATTAGTAGTTCTTCTAGCCTCTTCACCATATCAGCAAGCTTATCTATTTGCAGTACTTTTAAATACATAATACTTTAAATCCACTAATCTTCTGACAAAAAAGTACTCACATGAAGCTTTGTTTATCATTTTTTTCAAGGACAGGCATGATTGATAATGTTACCTGTTATTCTATCTTTGATTTATGTTTTAATGTTTTCTGTCCTAACATGCTTGCAAAAAATAAACAAGATTTAGCTCATTTATGTCATGCCGACGAAAGGTATTTTCAATTATATTAAAACGTAAAAGAATCTTAAAATTGTTCACTAGCTTAAATGCAACCAGGTATAAGAGGTATTTACATACTATTTATCATTTCGCTTTATCTTCCTTGTGGAGGATGACTAGCTGAAGAAAAAACACGAAAAATATCTTATTAGGCAGTCAAAACCCCGGATTAGCCAAGACTTATCTAACCTAAAAAACAAATGTAAATACAATATGTTTTTGTCAAGCAAACAGAGCCTACAATATTTCCAATTGTGCCGTTTGTGCGCTCTTTAGGGATTCCATGTTTTTCTCCATTATAGCAGTTCAATCAATTTTTATTCTTTTTACTACACTTTGCTACGAAAGCCTAATAGTGTCAAATAGAATAAAAAAATAAAAATGCAAAGGCGTTATAACGCGAATAAAGGCATTATTACGCGAATCAAAAGGCGTAATAACGCGAATAAAGGCGTGATAACGCGAATCAAAAGGCGTAATAACGCGAATAAAGGCGTAGCAACGCAAATCAAAAGGCGTAATAACGCGAATAAAGGCGTAGCAACGCGAATAAAGGCGTTATAACGCGAATCAAAAGGCGTAATAACGCGAATTAAGGCGTTATAACGCGAATCAAAAGGCGTAATAACGCGAATAAAGGCGTTATAACGCGAATCAAAAGGCGTAATAACGCAAATAAAGGCGTTATAACGCCTTTTCAAAAGGCGTAATAACGCGAATAAAGGCGTAATAACGCAAATCAAAAGGTGTAGTAACGCGAATAAAGGCGTAGTAACGCGAACCAAAAGGTGTAATTACGCAAATTAAAACGCATTATACTGCCAATTGAATACCATATTTATACTAATCAAATTGCCTAGTAACACGCGAAAGGAAGACCAATATTGATCTGAATTTATTGCTCAAGATATAAACTCGTATTGAATAATATAATTTACATTTACAATAACTATCATTCCACTTGCGGAGTAATAATGCAAACTATTTGTCATAAACTAATGAAGACTCTTTAATATTTGCCAATATAAGGTGACTTGGTGACTTATATGTCCATTGGACTGGACGTAAATACAGTTACTCTGAATTCACATGTATCACATCATTGATTTTACACATGTCACTACAGTAAATAAATTTCTTTTCTTTTCTTTTGTTTTCTTATCTCTTATCTTATCTTATATCTTATCTTATCTTATGTTATATGTGCGTCATATGTTCAATTATCTTCAGATATATCCTGTATGATTACCTAATAACCTGTGAATTATGTGAATGTCGTTCCTAATTACGCTATAGGTAATAGGCTATAGGTAACAAGATTTGGAAAAACGTATAAGTTAGTCACATTAGAGTGAAAGTATATCTTAATTATTGATACGTATGCCTAATAGGAGACATTGTCTTCTTTGTCTTTTAGAAAAATATATATAGTTAATCTCTAATCTGACGAAATCATTTCATGATAAAAGATTTAAAAAATCAGACTGTGACCTTAGGAGGTTTCAGTACAGAATTGAAAATAAAACGTACATCTAGTTCAATTCATTTAAATCAACATTGTTCTTCCTTCCATACATTACTAGGCCACTGTTTGGAATGTATATGGTATTAAATTAGCGTTATAACGCCTTTTGTTTTGCGTTATTACGCCTTTTGGTTCGCGTTATTACGCCTTTTGATTCGCGTTATAACGCCTTTATTCGCGTTAGTACGCCTTTTGATTCGCGTAATTACGCCTATTGTTTCGCGTTATTACGCGAATAAAGGCGTTATTACGCCTTTCAATTCTCGTTATAACGCCTTTATTCGCGTTATTACGCCTTTCAATTCGCGTTATAACGCCTTTATTCGCGTTATAATGCCTTTGATTCGCGTTATAACGCGATTAAAGGCGTTACTTCGCCTTTTGATTCGCGTAATAACACCTTTATTCACGTTATTACGCCTTTCAATTCGCGTTATAACGCCTTTATTCGCGTTATAACGCCTTTGATCCGCGTTATTACGCCTTTTGATTCGCGTTATAACGCCTTTATTCGCGTTATTACGCCTTTTAATTCGCGTTATAACGCCTTTCAATTCGCGTTTTAACGCCTTTATTCGCGTTATAACGCGAAACAAAAGGCGTAATAACGCGAACCAAAAGGCGTAATAACGCAAAACAAAAGGCGTTATAACGCTAATTTTATACCATAAAAATTCCAAACAATGGCCTCGTCATGTAAGAAAGGATGAACAATGTTGATCTAAATGATTTATGTTTTATTTTCAATTCTGTACGGATACGTCCTAAGACCACAGTTTGATTTTTTTTCAATCTTATATTAGGAAATGCTTTCGTCGGATTAGAGGTTACTATCACCCAACTTTAGATATTTTTCTACACAAAAGAAGACAATGTCTCCTATTATTGTAACTTAACAGAAACACTATCACCCTTCTAAGCATACCTATCAATAATTAAGATATACTTTCACCCTAATGTGATTTACTTATACCTTACGTTTTTTTCAAAATCTTGTTACCTATAGCCTATTACCTATTGCGTAATTGGGAACGACATTCACATAATTAGAAGATGTACTACAGGTTATTAAGTAATTATACAGGACATATCCGTAGATAATTGAACATATGACGCACATATAAGATAAGATAAGATATAAGAAAAGAAAAGATTAGAAAAGAAATTCATTTACTATAGTGACGTGTTTAAAATCAATGATGTGATACATGTGAATTCAGAGTAACTTTATTTAAGTCCAGTCCAATGGACCTATAAGTCACCAAGTCATCTTATATTGGCAAATATTAAAGAGTCTTCATTAGTATATGACAAATAGTTTGCATTATTACTGTGCAAATGGAATGATAGTTATTGTAAATGTATATTGTATTATTCTATACGAGTTTATATCTTGAGCAATAAATCAGATCAATATTGGTCTTCCTTTCTCGCGTTACTAGGCAATTTGATTAGTATAAATATGGTATTAAATTGGCATTATAATGCGTTTTAATTTGCGTTATTACGCCTTTATTTGCGTTATTACGCCTTTTGATTCGCGTTATAACGCCTTTATTCGCGTTATTACGCCTTTTGATTCGCGTTATAACGCCTTTATTCGCGTTTCTACACCTTTATTCGCGTTATTACGCCTTTTGATTCGCGTTATAACGCCTTTATTCGCGTTATTACGCCTTTGATTCGCGTTATAATGCCTTTATTCGCGTTATAACGCCTTTGCATTTTTATTTTTTTATTTTATTTGACACTATTAGGCTTTCGTACTTTGCTGATCCAGAATTGCATTTAATACCTGCAGTTTTATGTGTCGTATATTGAATTCTTATCATGATATAACAACTAAACGTTGCTATAAATCACATTACAATATCATTATTTATCTGCACTTCATAACATGAAAGCAGAATCTTAAATCCATTTACAAACATAGATTAAGAATTTTTATAAAATAAACCGGTTTACGATAAAAGTCAACCAACCAATGACGTGCCTTTTCACCATATCAAATTAAACTACAATTGTGGAAACGTTGAAGATTTAACCAGTTGAATACAGTTTGTGCATACTAATAGATGGATTTGTAAAATGATTGTTGGCACGATCATTCTATTGTTTTGCTGTGTAACAACAATTGGTATGTACAAATTCTGTTTATATTGACGAGTAAAATAGGGTTTGTATATAGTTCTATTATTTACATTCAATGAATCACGCTATTAAAAAAAATACATTAAAAAGAGTTCATTAAACGACCGACTAATTACCATGATCGCCACCTAACAATGTGGATCTCCAGATATAAATTTACATTCTTTGATTAACATTTCACACGTTCTCACTTGTCATGTACATTTTCATTTGACAATGTAATATTTTTCGTTATAAGCAAGACCTTGTATATTTATATCAAATTGGTGATGACATACAGAGACTGACTTTTACATGCCTTTATTACTAGCTTACTACAATCTTAGTTCAGCCTTTTCAATTCTAAGCAACTCTACTCTTAATAAATTAGTTTATTATATTCATCATTAGAATTACGAAGCACTTATATATCGGATATATGATATTTGTAAGAATATTTTTTACACAAGCAAATCTGAACTGAGGGAAATGCATTCGAATTTAAGGATTTAAACTGATCAAATAATACTGTTATCTGTTTTATATTGTTTTCAAAATCTAAACATAGTATTGAATGTTCTTCTTCTATCTATTAAAACGTCACATTTAAAAAAAATATAACAGGTCAAAATCAATGATAGAATATATGATAACCAATTTCCCAGTGGTCCGATTGATAGAAACAGAAAGGGAAATTAGTCTGGTGATGCTGGACTTTTAACAAACGAAGAATTATAAGTTGGTCATGTAATGAAACGGTTATTGTATGATTATTTTATTTAGTAGTCTTTTAAGTGTTTTTGTTTTTTAGGGTAGAAATATATGTGTTTGGAATGTGGTTTTGTTGTCACGTCCGCTTGAAGCTTAAATAAAAATCAAAGTATATTTTTGTGATTATTAAGGAAAAAGCAAATTGAGCGTTCCCGTGTGTTCTTTTTATAAAATAGGGCCTTGAAATTGGACAAAAAACAAGCGAAAGAAATTCGGAGATAGGTTCATATAAAAGCTGTTTACGAATAAACCAAATATAGATTGTTTAGCTGGAGAACATAAAGCGATACTTACTGAAAAATGTTTAGCCTGTGTCAATATTTTTTCAGTCTACATTACAACATATTCAGTCTACATTACAACATATTCACCAGTAAAAAATATAATTGGATATTTTCATTCTCAAACTAACACAATTATGTTGCATATAACTGTATGATAGATTGCTGCATGCCTTTCACCTACGGTTCCTGGCATGAATGGACAAGTTGTACCCGATCATGCGCCGGTGGCACACGTAAACGTGTCAGATATTCATGTGTGAGAAGCGATGAAGATTGGCAGGATGAGAAATGCAATCAATTTTGTTACAACGGTGGCAAGAATCTTTGGTTAGGTTACTGTCAATGCAGCAACTGGAGATCTGGACCTTGTTGTCAAGGTAACGTTATTCTTTGGTATTTAAGTGCTTGATAATTACATAATGTTGCTTTATGTCAGAATGTAAAATATTGACAGGAAGATATGGATAAAGGGACAATCAACTGTAAGCAAAAGTATCAAGTGAGTAGCGGTAAACTGTAAATAAGTTGATCATTTAAACTAGGGGAAATTTTTTAGTCAAGCTTGCATAATAATCAACTGTTTTCATGCAGTAAGACCTTTAAGAACATTTAAAAACATTTAAGCTTCGAAAAGCTGTTAAGAGATCTTTACTTATTGCTCCGCGCCCACAGGCGCGGAGCTATTTGTGTTTACTATTTTTTTTGTCCATGGGCCCGGATTTGAGCAATAAATCCTTTCGATTAACAGCTAAAAGTAAATCCGCATTCAAGAACTCCTTTCGATTTCTATATTGGTTTCCCCGTCGATGATTCGCAGCATGTCATATTAATGAATGAGAACCGGAAAGCAGTTCTGCTGTTACATAAATTCGAAAGCTATAAATAGCTATAAATGTTATACATTTGTTATTTCCCTTTTTTAGTAGTACATGCAATTATAATTTGTTACATTTTGAAATACATTTACACACAGCATATCAAGTATACTATTAGTGATTGAATTTGTCAATATAAAGAAGATTTCAGGCAAAAGATTTTAACAATTTTGCTTTTGATAATTATTTTTAATTTATATTTATGAAATTAAATGTTTAATAATAACATGTTGATATATTGGTTGTTTTGAAATAATTAAACTTTAGTATATTATGTTACATTTCATTAGCGTCATTGGTACAGCATACCACTTTGTAATAATGGTATGAATGGTGACATGTTCGGGGGTCCTTACTCGACAGCGAAAGCTGGATTTTACAGCCTTGCGGGCGGATGACCCTCATTAAGATGATTCCGCTTTGTCAGCCAAGTTTGTATACGCAAAGTGAGAGTAGGCCAAAATTCATATATCAACAAAGCTCACAATGTTATATGATTAGCCATTTGCAAGTACACTTCCAATTCTATGTTTTAAAGACTATTTTAAACAAAAATAAAAATGATAACAATAAGAAATTTACCTTGAATGGGCTACATTTCTGAAGACCAAAAAAATTCTGTTGCAAATCTTTATGCACATTTCATGAATGGCAAAATCCAGTTTAAAGTCTATTTTAGTGCAAACAAATGGTACTTTTTGCAGAAAATACAAACAAAAACTTTTAAAAACATTAATCTTAGGAAAGTAGTTTATCTGACCTTGAAAAAACATGGCTTCCATGACATGTGTAAAAAAGGAATACCATGAAAATAAACATCATTTACCTATTTCTTGTGTACATGACAAACAGACACACTTCACTGTTACACATAAAAAGGTTAGATTTTAAAGTTTGATTGTGTTTTCATTTTAATTGTAGTTCATAAGGCTATAAATGATGATTGTTTTCTTGCACTACTTTTTTACAAAAAAAATAATGGAGGCCATGTGCTTAGAAGGACATGAGATACTGGTTTATTTGGAGTTAAGTTTTGAAAGATTTTTGTATTTGCTGCAAAAAAGCTTTTGTTTGCACTAAAACAGACTTTTAAAAGGATTTTGCAATTCATGAAATGTGCATAAAACTTTGCAACAGAATGTTTTTGGTCTTCAGAAATGTAGCACATTCAAGGTAAATGTTCTTATTGTTATCATTTTTATTTTTGTTTATAATTGTCCTTAAAATATAAACCTGGAAGTGTATTTTCAAATGGTTCATCATTTTACAATAAGAGCTTTGTTGTTATATGAATTTTGGCCTACTTTCACTTTGGACAGACTTTAGTTAAAACAAACATGACTGACAAAGCGGAATCACCTTAAGCATAGGCTATAGATAGATATCATGACAACAACAGAAACATTGATCTGCAGTTTGAACATGAAGTGTAATGTTTTTTTATGAATGGTTTTAAAGCAATTCAACATAAAATATATATTGATCTCCCTAAAAATTAATTAACAATAGTTTTTTTTATATATATTACCAATGTCAAATAGCTTTCATATCTTTGTCTCGCATGAATATGATATAAGTGAATTTCCTCATACCTACCTTAAATTCAGGTAACAGTCTTCTATTATATTGATAAATACTGTATCACCATGTAACGAGTGTATAACAAACAAAAAAAATCCTGAATTTTGTCTTTCGGAAATTCATCCCATTTTTTTCATTCCAGAGTGTGTTCTACTTTCAGTATTGAAAGAAACCATTTTTTTAATTTGACATGAAAAATATATATGTAATATTACTATATTATAATATTAGTCCCGTTTGTTACTATTTGTATATTTGTAACAATTATAACAGACTTTGATATTTCTATCATCTATCTTCTGTTACTGAAACAGAACACAGAACAGTCATGTCACCTAACATTTACAAGTCTTGTAAGTCTTGTTTGTATTCAATGGAATTACTTTCCTTACCAGGTAGGCATCAGTGAAAGCATTTTTATATTAAATACTTTTCCCCTCTTTTTAACGATGGACAGTTATGGACAGTGCATAAGATAAGTATAATTTTGCAAAAAATGGTTTACAAAACATTCGGAAAAAATCTACAATAGTACTTAATCTGAATATAACATGACCTGTGCGTAGGAATAATTTGGTAAGGTATCTGTAATGAGCACATTTTTTTGCACATTTTTTTTGCGCGGAGCTTCTCAATTGCTGCATTGCAGCAACATTTTTACTTGTAGACTACTGTCATTCATTCTTACTACAGTAAACTTCACTTATAGCGAACACGGTTATAGCGAATTTCCGGTTATAAGTAACAATTTATTTTGGCCCGAATTCTGCCCTTTTTTATTTAATATAAAAATATACGGTTATAGCGAACGCGGTTATAAGGAATTATCGCCTTATTTTTTAGTCCCAATTCAGTTAAAAGTACAGAAAATTACACTCTTAAAGCGAACTTCAAAATATCGGCTATCCATAAATATATCCCGCATTTTCAAATTTATTTTTCATAGACACGAATTAAAACTCGCCCAAATGTACCATTAATTGTTGTCTGTACTTGAATACAGCTATAAAAATTAATTTGTATAGCAGTAGGTAATAGTTTTCTAATTAGGATATTTTAAGAATGAGTTCTTGTCACCAAGATAAAACGGTTATTCCATTAATTGTATTATTTCTTTTCTTTATTAGGTTTGTAATCGGTTTTCAACATAATTACACATTCTTGCTAATCCATTTTAAACTTCAAAGTACGGTTTATTGAAATAAAAAGAAATCTATATCTTTCATAAATAATAGTCACCCTTAAAATATAATAGAAGATATTCAATATAAAAGGAAGGAAAAAGGAAAACCTTGTTTATTCTTAATCATGGAAAGATAACGAAAAGCACTGAGTTTAGAAACAAAATATGATATTTTATGATGTATTGAAAAAGAAAGTAAAACTAAATTTGAAATAGCAAAGGATTTTCAAATTCAAAAATGTATACGCTCTCGAGTATTGTGTCTAAAAAGAATAAATGACTAATTTTTCTTAATCAAACAGTTCGTTATATGTAAATCTGTTCGCTATAAAAACTCCTGATATAAGGAACTAATTCGCTTTATGCTTATAAGGAACTCCGGATATGAGGAACAGATGTTGAATGTCCCAATGAGTTCGTTATAAGCGGAGTTTACTGTATATAAAAACTATAGAAATATTTTGTTAGTACTTTAACGTGATGTGGCCATCATTAATTACCGTTTGTCTTTTCAAAAAAGGTTGTGATGGCGTATGTTGCAATTTAAAATATTAATTGTTAAGTGAATCATATAATGTTTTTTTCACCAAAATATTGAAATTATAATCAATGGAAGTATCGCAAAGGCCTTGAAATATTTTAAGTGGTATAATTTATGATACTTACTGTCTTATCACATGTTACTGTAATCTTTTCAGATTGTAAGAAAATTGATTTACCACATTGCAAAAGTGGACGACAGGAGTGTGGGGGATACCCTGATAATGTGAAGTGCAGCGAGTGTGATAAACCTTATTATGCTGCTGGATGGGGGAATGGTTGCCTTGGTATGAGATGCGATAAAACTCCAATTACTTGTTCATTTTGGCAACCTTTTACAATAATTCATTTGCTTAGCCCACTCTTTTCTTTTCATTATACGAATAAAAAGACTAATAACTAATGAAATGTTCATTGTTCGATAATGGTTGTGATCTATGCAAAATTCATTTTGGTTTTTTGTCTTTAGATAAGTGATAGGTAAATGTAAAAAAATCCTTAGCATTAATATGATAACTCTTATCGTTTCATTCCATTTAAGTATGTCCCACAATAGCACAGTGTACAGACCGGCATTGCACAAACAGAGATAATACCCGGTGTGAATCGTGTACTTACAACGGTATTCTCTTCAAACCTACGCCTGACAAGACTGGATGTGAAAGTATGTCGTTTCAAGTAATTTGTACATCATAAGTAAGTTCCTGCCGATTATTTAAAACCTGGTTGAAGAAAATAAATTTTGATAAGATAAGCAAGCACATTAAATTTGATTTAATTTCGGTTCAAGCAGAAACACATTTTTCTGTTAAACTTTCTTATTTGAAGGGGTGTGCGCATGGGACAAGCAAAATTGCTGGCCCGGTGAATGTGGCGATGGACTAACTCGAAATTGCATCTGTGCTCAGGGCTTTCATAAGTATTCTGGCCCTGGAGAAACATCATGTCAGCGTACGTGATCTTATAAGTATTCCTTATCATTTATATACTTTCAATTACATTATAAAATCCCAATGAATACATATGAACATACATGTCTCTATACAAATTTAGTAATTGATATTAAGATAGATCATGTACATGTATTTAAGGCATTTTTTAAACGATCCATTTTCAAAACTTGGGATACATTTTATAACCGTTATTACTTTAACAATAAGCTTAAATACTTGTATTGTTTTATCTTACCGTAGTTGATGAGACGAATACGCCTTCAATAACCAAGTGTTTCACAACTATATTTAAAACTGGTGGCAAAGGAAAACAAACGCATGAGTCCAAATGTGCAGATGTCAAAGATTTTTATGGAAATTTTCAGCCACAACAACTCCGTTATGATTTGACTGCACACTTTCGAATCGACTTAAAAAATATAACAACTATAACTAAACCGTTCATCAAGCAGACTAAATTTGGCGTCACTGATGTCACAATATCAGTTTTAAAAGAACAAATCACAGGTAAGAATAGTATTATTATTGGTTTGCAGTGAACCGATACTTTACAATACTTTCTTTTTCTTTTATTGACATGTACATGATGTTATCATTTTTTAAGGTACAAGACAGAAAGTGGTCGGAAAGGAAATTTTGACTGACAAATCATTTGGTATGGACGCTATTGATACGTTCTTCCAGAATGACACATTGAGTTTTAACGTTATATTACAAGATGGCGAAAGGTAAATTATTAGTTTGCTATGTAAATTGATACAATAATTCTATAATGTATGTTTAAATTTAATCAATAATCTAAATAAGTTTAGCTTATTAATTCTCAATATTTTCTGTTTTTCGGGTCGCCTCTACAGAGTAGCAGCGAAATATATATTGATCACTTCTTCGTCTGTCCGTCTGTCTGTCAATCCGTCACAAAACTTGTCCGGACTACTCCTCAGAAACTACTGGTGCATTTTCATCTAAGGAATGATCAGTACCAAGTCAAATTGTGCTAATCGTTTTTTTCCGGTTCAATGATTTATGTCCCTTAAATCATTTTTATTTCTGAAGTTTTTTTTCCGGACTACTCCACTTAAACCAGTTATGCAATTTCAATGAAACTTAACAGGATTAATCAATAGCTCAAGTTCTTGCGCATATTGCACTGGTTTTGAGCTTGAATAAAAACGGTGTTTTTGTGTGTTGCATGCTACACAGAAACTCGTTCTGACTACTTCTTAGAAACTACCGGTGCAAATTCATCCAAACTTTACAGGAACGATCAGTACCTAGCCGGTATTTTAAGTTTCAATAATTTAGTGAGTAATAGCCCTTAAATGATTTTTATTTTTAAAGTTTGTACGGACTACTCCTCTTATACCACGAATGTAATTTCAATGAAACTTTACAGGAATGATTGAAAGCTCAAGTACTTGGGCATATTGCACTAGACTAGTTTTGCGCTTGAATTATTTTTGGCTGAGTTATGGTCCTTGAATAAAAATGTGTTTTTGTGTTGCCAGCTAAACTGAATATTACATGGACTACTCGCCAGGCACTACTGGTGCAATCCCATTAAAACCGTACAGGAATGATCAGTACTAAGTCTTTTACTTCTCTTATACAACAAATGCTATTTACATGAAACTTTAAAGGATGGATAAGTACCTCAAGTATTTGCATATAAATTAACGGTGCTCCGGTTGAATAGTTTTTGGCTGAGTTATAGCCTCTGAAAAAAAGGTTTGTCATGTTAATGATTTATATGTCTCCTGCTACCCAGTAGCTTCAACATACAAAAGGCTTTAATTGGGCAGCACTTGTGATCACTGATCGCTCTTGTTTATTTTTGTAGTTTTGAAATAAAACTCAAAGCTTTGTTCAGCCATTCTTGTTATAGAATTGAATAATCAAATGAAATGATCATACAATTATATAATAATATCATTTTATCATTTCTATAAATACTAGATTATGTACGAAGTATGAGGCCAATGGTGGTGGATACCTTAAAACAGTTGACATCCGGAGTGTTCACATAGTAAAAGGTCCTTATTCGTACAGAAAAACAAAAAGTAGTCAAACGGTATGTTATAGGTATGATGATTCGAGTCCTCGGCATTGTTCACTTACAGGAAATTGTTCTGCCATGCACATTAAACCACTTGAAATTTCAAACATCATTACACGGTCTAGAAATATAACTGTTGACTTCCTAGGATGGATAGATCCAATACCTCTACATGGGAAACCCGATCATGCATCAGGAGTTGAATCATATCTTATAACGGTTCATGAAGTTGTAGACGGGTTACCCGATCGCTCTCATATAATGCGCAAGATGTTGAATGTTTCTCAAACGGGAACGTTACTTACACTGCCATCAAATTCTCCAAGGCTTTATTGTATCAAATTAGAAGTAAAAGATGTAGCTGAAAATATTCAACAAGCAAGGCGATTTGTTCTTTATGATAATAATTCAACTATATCTGTGAATTCAGTTACTGGTTCCTTCAAAGTAAATTCAGCAATTGAGAAAAATAAACGTGCATGGCAAACAAACCACGAAAAAATATGTCTGAACTGGAATTCGTATTTTGTTAATACTGAATACAATAAGAGTGTGTTAGGACCAATTAAACGAGATAGCCTTATTTCAAATCATTACGATCAAACGACTGGCCAGTTGCCAATATCAGGAACACAAAATGTATTTGGCATTGTTAAATACTGGTTTTCATCGAATTTAGATAACGGAACGCAATCAGAAGAAATTTTGGTACCGAACTTTACTAATCAAACATTTTGTCAGAGTTTTAACTTGAAAGATGGACAGACATACGCTCTGAGAATAAGAGCGGTTGATATACTTAACAATACCTTCAGTGATAGCAGAATTGTTCATATTGACAGAACACCACCCCATATTCATGATATTGGTCTTCTGAAAAATGGAAATTTGCGCCTGTTTGTCCATGATCAAACTGATTTGTCATATATGAAACTAGCCTTTGCAGCATTAGATCCTCACAGTGGACTGTTGAACATTGAATGGTGGTTTGGCGTGTCTGATTTTGGCGCACATTTAGGTCACGGTACCTTAAAACCAAACAAGAAGGTATGTATTAAATGTTCATTGAGAATAAGATTAGCTGTCATTTTCTATTTTATTTCAACTGAAAAACAAATATTGGTTAACATTTCATAATCCATAAAACATCTAAATGTATTTATTTAAACTATAAAAAGAAACATCGTTGTGCTAAGATACGATAATTCACAGAAAGGATAATGATTATTAATAACCTGTTAAAGGAGATAATACACATTTAAGTAAGAGAATGTCATGTCGTGACATGCTCATAACTAGCTTTCAAATATAACGCAATGATATGATTAAAGGATGGTTGTCCGTTGCGATTGCGAGAATGCTATTGTCCGGATGTTGGAGAATGTGAGATGTACAATTACACCTTTTCCATGAACACGCTTATAAACAGCAGCACAAACGTTGGCAATCATAACCGGAACTACTTTTTTACCGTGAAAGTTACAAACAACGCCGGTCTTTCCAACATAGAACATTTAGATATACTTGTTGATGATTCTGCTCCCGAGAAAGGAGTTATATATGAAGGTGAGTTACTTAAAGATTGAAATAATTTACATGATTTATCATCTATCAAACCGAACCTTAAATATTTTACATTAAGCCGTTTCTGGCGTTCATTTAAATATTAAATCCCATAACAAAACAAACAAACAGTTATCATGACCGATGTCTTCTCTCTAACTTATAAGCAATATAACTAGCGCTTGGAATTACCCTTTTTTTGTAAATGTATTTATCTATGTCATTTGTATCTTTAAAACAATGAATGGAATTTATCGAGCATACTTTTATTGCTTGTTTATAATCAGGTGCAGCTGGCAATCCTGATATAGATTATACAAGTGATACGAGTTTTATTGTGCGATGGCACGGCTTTATTGATCATGAGAGTGGCATCAAAGAATACAGAGTTGGTCTTTCGGATGCATGCGTAGAAAAGGACGAACTTGAAAATTTTGATTTGAGATCAAATATCACACAGTACAATATTATTCCTTTCACTGAGGCTTCTATAAGATTAAAGGCCAATTTCACTGGGAAGAAATATGTAAATATCATTGCGATTAATAACGCCATGGAAGCGTCAGGTGTTGCTTGTTCAGATGGTATAACAAGAGATAACACGTCACCAGAATTGCAAAATGTACGGCTTAAATATGGCAAATGGTCAGAGTCTTTATTTTGTACAATGGGCAATGCCTGGCTCTTTAAATCAGATCTGACGAAAATGAGTTTACCAAATACCACTTTATGCAACCTGCGATGTAAGAAAGATCATATAGGGTTAGATATATTCAATGCGCTTCCTATAAGTGAAACATACAACAATGACAAGAGTGTCGCTGAATTTATGTGCAAAAGGCTTCCAATGTACGATGCCAACAACGTGATCTTTCTCCCTGATGACCATCTTTACATTTCTTGGGATGTAAATGAGACTGGTAGTCAAATTGAAGATTATTATGTCGGTTTTGGCCTTGCAAACGGCAACATAACTTTAGCATCTATTATGGATTATAAATCCACCAACGGAAGGAGTTATTTTAAAATGAGACACATCGGTGTCGGAACTGGTATTTTATTTTACGTATATATCAAAACTGTGAACAAAGCAAAGATTGAACAAATCACAGAAATAGGTCCTATACTTATTGATGAAACACCTCCAATTTTTAGTAAAAAGCCAACCATTCGCATTGGTACTGATGCGGTAACGATTGGTTGGGACAGAAATACTGTTTACGATCTTGAGCAAAGCAGTCCAATCAATCAGATGTTTTTTCAAATAGGTATTTATTATTTGAATATATTTTTTAAAATCCTGTTAATCCAACGTTTTAGTATATGGCTAGACTTAATATAAGAATTGATATTTGAAAATCATAAAATTGTAAAGTTAGTTTGCTCAATAATTTCAAAGGCGGCACTTCGTTTACTTATAAATGTTAAATAAAATGTCTTTTAAACATTTAATTAATCACTGTTTTGATATATTTTCTGAATCTTGTTTCATTTGTCACAGGGTGAGAAAATGTGCAGCCTGACCGGAACTCGAGCCCGGGACCTTTGGAATACCGTACCGCGGCTCTACCGACTGAGCTATCCGGCCGCTTGCACATTTTCTCCCCTAAATAGTGAATAATTCTGAAACACATACTCCCCTGCTATATTAAAATTCGTCCTCGAATTTCACAGAGTTACAAAGCAATGTAGATTAAACTCTGAGCTACATACAGTCACGGTCCCACGTTGGGCGCCAAATTTCACAGGGTGAGAAAATATGCAGCCTGACCGGGACTCGAACCCGAAACCCTTGGAATATGTATCGCGGCTCTTACGATTTAGCTATCCGGCCGCTTACACATCTTCTCCCCTAAATAGTGTGAACAGTTCAGAACCGTGACACATTCAATTCAAAGTTATTATTGTAATGTATTTAGTGTTGATATCTAAGTAGCGTGCTTTTTGTGTGAGTTGTTTCCACTTTTGTAAGATCTAATCAATGCAACTTGAAGAAAGAATTTGCATTAAAAGAATTTACATTACACTGAAAGTACTAGTATATTTTCGTTGATATTTATTTTGTCAGACAAAGTAGGCTAATTGTCAAAATTAATTTACCTTTAGTTCACGACGCTTATGTTGAATCTCCTATTATGGAATGGCGGTTTGATGAGAAGAATTCCTGTTCAAATTTTACCGGAGGGTGTATCACTTATCCATTAAAAAGGCTGCAACAGATTGACACAGACCAAGGATCAAATTTTTCAATTAAGGTTTTTGCATATAACGACGCTGGGCACTTTGCAACAGAAATAACAGAACCATTTAAGATTCCTTCACAATATCCACCCGGCCACGCGATAGTTAAAGATGTTGACCCTTTTGGTCATACGAAAACGCATATAATGGATGTGGATGTTCATTTTACTGCAAATAAACTTTGTACTGAATGGAGTGGCTTTGCACACCACGAACATGTTGCCATAGAAATCGGTGTAGGAACAAATAACGTGACTGCAAATGTTATCCCATATCAGGCCACAAATGGTTCAAATGTTGCATGCATTCAATCTAGGGCAATTGTCTTCAATATAAAGTACTTTATTCTATTGAGAGCTACTTGCTCTGGCGGAGAAACTATTTCTAGCTCAAATGGAGTCACCATTTTAAATGAAACAAATTTAACGGAAAATTTTAAAATTTGCATTTGGGCAGATTCATTCAATACGGAATGGATTAAACAATTACCACAAAATTCATCGCAAGTAAACTTCTGTGCTTCCAGAAATCTCGAGCTTGGCCAAAGATCCACTCTTATTATAAATGGCGTGAATAGAAATACTTCCGTAAAAGAGAATCAATATCTGTATATAGACGGCATTGAATATTTCAATAGCAGCATGAAAGTGGACACTATTATTGTATCAGTCGAAGAGAAGCCATGCATAACAATTTATAATGAGATGTTTCGAAATATATCTGTCGAAACGTATCACAATTCCGCTGATTGGAAAAGGTTTATTAAAGGAACAAATACATTTCCCGTTTCATGGAACTCCCACGAAAACAATTCTATTCTCCGCCATTTAAGATATAAAATAGCTTTAAGCAAACTAAGTGACGCTTTGCAGAACACACAAACATACAAAGTTATTACGGATTGGACAAATGCAGATAGAAACTCATCTCATGTCATTCATACTCATTCACTTTCCCAGAGTAGTGAATACGCCATACTTATAAAGATATGTACCTCAAATAGATGTATCGGCCAAATTGTTTCCAAGACATTTAAAATAGAACAGTCAATAGAAGCCGGACGAATAAGGTCATTTAACCTGGAGCTGAGCAATAAAAAATCGTGTATTGGTATTAATCTTGAGTGGGAAATGTTCCGAGCAAAGAGTAATATTTCAGTGTATCAGTGGTCAATTAGCAAAGATAAAGAAGCAAATGATGTTCTGGCGATATGGAGAACTGTATCTAACAACGAAGATTCGGTTTACAAGGTAAGAATTGTTACCAGAAACTCTTGGGTTAATTTGGTTTATATAATTTCTGATACATGACTTAAATAATGATATATATATTTAAAAAAAATTTTCCACGTTCTTGTATCCTTCTTTGGATCCAGTGTTTTTGAAAGGTATTTTGTAGATGTAAATATTTTTCACAAACCTATATATATATATAATCATATATTATTCCTTTTCATTTTTGTACAATTATCTGTCTTCAATTTTAGTTTGAAAGTTAAACATTTCAACTGCATAATTGATTTTTCCCCTAATATTTAGGTATCTATGTGTATAGAAGTACCCGTTCTCAGGCATTCTACATTATACCTATGTGTAAGAGCATTTTCTACAGCTGGGAACACCAAAACAATCTGTCAGACAGCTTCAGTTGTTGTGGAAGCTGAATTCGATACAAATACTTTATATGACATAGATTCATCATTGCCGTCATGGAAAATAATCAAAGAGGTAACTCTTTAATTTGTACAATAGAGTTATCTGTTTTGAATAATCGAGTTCATTTTGAAAATATTATCGTCCTTACAATATTTTTTTCAATACATCTCAATTCATTCTTTAATATTTTTAAGATGATTGCATGATACTTTCCAATCATTTATTCATTATTTTTCTAATCTCATACACGTGTGTTTCGAGATATAATTCTTTGAGATTTACCCCTATCATGCGATTGATCAGATGTTTGTTAAACGGTGCCTTTCCTTGTTAATCTTGTCTATCATATTTTTACCACATTTACATAAAAAAAATAAAGCAATTTGGTATATTCTCCCGACACCACCTTACACCCCCGCAAATAAAAATTGACTTTAAATTTACAAATTATAAGATAAGCAGTATCTGTATAAAAATGCTTAAGCAATTTATTTTTATTTCACTTAGATGATACATAGTTCAAACATAGGAAGCAATTATGCAGTATTGCACAATTCAGAAATGGACTTTGGGAATACGAATACATCAGTTGTAGGGATAATTATGTATGCAACAGAAAGGAAAGTAAACTGGTTTCTGATGAAACACAAACACGTGCCGGATTTTAATCAGTGCGAAAAGGATTCTGATTGTGTCTTTACAACACAAACACAAAACGGATTTGTCTTGTTTGACAATAAAGTAATTGAGAAAAATTCGTTTTATTACACATGCGCGTATTCAAATGCAAGCTCTGTTTCGCGTGAATTATTCACAGAAATGTTCTCCGAGATTCGTGTTTGTAGTAATGGCTTCATTATTGATGACACTCCACCGTTTGGTGGACATGTAACTGTATTACACTCTGGCGGGTTTATAACCAGACGCGGGGAACTGAACATCTACTGGAGTGGTTTCGATGATAACGTAGATACAGCCCAACTTGGTTATGTGGATAGAATAAAATTCTATTCTTGTGCAGTCGGTAGGATATTCATTTTACTTTGCATTACTTTTCTTAAGCTTTGACAAAAAACAACATTTGTAGTGGAATTACACATAAAAATCTCATAAATTGATCACTTCTTTATTCAAGTCTAATAGTTTGATAATTTGCAAAATCGAATAAATAGCACTGAGTTTTGTATAATTGTATGGTAATGTTATTATCTCACAGGAACAAGACCCGGTAGCGAAGACATTGTACAGTACATCGATGTTGGAAACACACAACATGCGGTTATAAGAAATTTTTACTGTTGTAGATGGAAATGTTATATATGCTTCAGTCAAAGGTAATCTAATATCTCAGTCATGATAATATCAACATTCTACTACCGCAATGTGTTTTATATTTTCTTAAATTTAATAATTTCATATATTTTCCCATATACAAAATAGTAACTCAAAACACTTGTTAATTTATAGCAACGGACCATGCTGGACTTTCACGTGTCGTATATTCAAACGAGATGACTGTCGACAGTTCGCCACCTGTGTCGGGCAAAAATCAGTATAAATGCAGACTCTGAGTACATCAGTTCAAAATTGATTGAAATAAGTCTCATTGGTTTCTCTGACGATCAAAGCGGTATAGAATATTTTGAAGTCGCATTTGGGTCAGATGAATACTTAGAAGATGTTCAAACGGGATCAAAGTATTTATCAGACAATATCGAAGTAGACTTACCGGAAAACATGCATGACGGACATAAGTATTTCATTACAGCAAAGGTAATCTGTACTTGAATACAAAAATAATAATGAAAATAATTATTTTTACATACGTAAAATGATAGCTTAACTTTCAAATACTTCCCTTATATTATCTTTGTAAAGTATTTGTTTTTACATTTATTTGAAGAAAAAAAATGGCTTATTTCAATATTTCAATATGATTTTGTGAATGTTTCAAAATAGCACTCACATAAAAATTCATATATAGTAATTGCATGCATTTATTTTATAATACAGGCCACGAATAGAGCAGGGTTATCGTCAACATCCGTGTCAATGGTGATAATTCCTGATCGATCCGCTCCTACAGGGGGAATCGTTATTGACGGAGACGGAGACAGGCTGTTCTACGTAAGTCTTTCTTCTATTCAATTTTTTATTTACTTTTTCTAATTTGTGAAATATAAAGGATATTAAATGAGTGTAGATGTAATAGTGAATTTATTGAACGAGCTGAATAAAATCATAATATTGAATCTACACGAATGTAATATTCTAGTTACCACATATCCAAAATATGAACGGTTTACAGTAAAAAATGTCATTTTTATTGTATTATCCTTACATTTAGAAAAAAATTGGAGGCCATTGTACTTTCTTGTGATAGCAAGTAAACACTAATTATCTTGCTAAATATTTACTTGAATCCCGAGTAGGGAATAGTTTTTCGCTGAGCATGCGATCAATTCCAAATAACTAGTTTAAACCATCATACCTTCTTTCAAAAAATGAAGACATATAAAACATGTATAAACAAAGATAAAATGTACATTTTGTAAATCGTTTTACATTTCTTAAGCGTCACTGACCTTTAAGATTATTATTGTGCACGTATTTTCAAGGCTTTTTTGTTTGTTTGATTAATGAGTCAGTCGTGACTTTTTATTCTGAATTTATCAAATGATAAAGTACTCGGTATAGCCTTATATATGATCACGTTAATCAAACTCGTTTAAAAAATAAATATGAAATTTTCAGATATTGTTTAAAATGTTTGACTTCACGAATACAATGAACCATACTATTGGTAATAAAACAACTTTTATGATGAACAAGCTGGCTATTATGCCTGTAGAAATATTATGTTTTAGAAAGACCAAGATTTTCAAAAGGAACTAGGATATATTCAAGGTCACTGGAAAGGTTTCAACGACCCACATAGTGGTGTTAACTTTTATAGAGTTGGTCTTGGTACCAAACGATACCATGATGATGTTGAAGGAATGATGGACGTCGGTCTTCACACAGGTTTGAAATAGTTGTGTTTCAGTCTGTTCCTGACTGTAGAAACCTTTGCAACAAAAACATGGGTGGTATATGTTAGAGTAAGCTGTTTATTCCAGGTGACGTCTTATGAAGGGTATTTAGTTTTACGTAACAGTCATTTGTTGAACTTAAATGGACGTCGGTGACCAATTTTAGATTGCTAACTTCAAATCACATGCCCCTCGTCGCAGAGGTTTTAAATCTCCATTTGAGACTTTGAATGCTTTCATGCCTGGATTATGTCAGAGTCTTTGTAACAAAGTAAAGTACCCCCCAAATAATTATGATCCCCGGTCTATATCTTTGAAAGAAGATGATTGACTTCCAGTTGATAAGATTGTAACTTCCACTCATGGTCAAAGTATTATGACTTCCCCACATGAAGACAATGACCCTCGCGAAGTATTGCGGTCCACATAACTGGCAAACCTCTGTCATTTGTAATCATTTCCATAAAGAAAGGTAAAATCTTTCCACATTTACGAGAAAAATTATGAATTCATTTTAAATGTATTTAACGTGCAGCAGCTGTAAGTGGATCGATCAATGAACAAACATTTTTATACGCACATATTAAACGGTATAATGTTACGCACCTGGTCGTCCGTCCATATGTTGCATGTTTAATCTCATCGTGACGATGTGAAAAGCGCAAGCATGACCTTCATAATGTCAAGGTCAATGTTAGACTTAGTCATTATGTAGGAATAGAACCAAAAGAAATAATTTTGAAGCAGATATATAAGTAATAATGAGACGATTTGCAAAACACAGGTTTGGACCTCCTACTTCATTTACATTTGGTTTTTTATTTACATATAGGAAACAACAATGTCTAGAGCTTAATTTTTGGGATGTAGGGAAATTTCTGTTTTTTACCCTTTTCAAAAAATAAAAAATCATGCGTTCCCTTTGGGTTTTTTTTGCAGGGGTCAAATTTTATTTATATGATTTAAATTTATATAGATTTTTATTGAAAAAAAAAAATATCTGGTAAATTATTATGGGGGAAAAATTTTGAACCCTGAACCCTTTGATATTTGGCAAAGTTTAAATAAAATTTTGGACCACAAAATGATAAAAACCCCGGGGGCAAAATTTAAATCACTTTTTGGTTTAAAATTTTTTTTGCATAGAAAAAACCATTTAAGTCTTTTTTTGGTTAAATTGGGAATGCCAAGGGGTTTATAATTGACATAAAACATTGCCAAGTAGTGTTTGGGGGCCCATACAAAAGGAATAACTTTTTTGGGTTTTAAAAATTTTGTGAAATTCTGCAGAAACTGATATTAATCATGCCAATAAGGTTAAATATTGGTCCGCCAAGGGTAACTTTGTTTATTTAAACTTAAATAGCAAAACAACTTAAGTCTTATTGTGTGAATCTACATAGCCCTGAAATTAGATATTTGGCATATAGCATAAATGTGTAAATTTTTACAAACGTTGTATTTATCATGACCCTCAGGTCAAAATTGGTCCGGCGTCGGATGTCACTTGCCTTAAGTAGACTAAGATATTGGAAAACACATCTATATTTTGATTGATAAATACTATGCTCTTTTATTTGGCTGCATATAGCATTTTCTAGTAGACCTCTATAAAAGTTGTTTGTTTAAATTACTAGAAAAGAAGGAAAACAAATTGACTTCTTGTCGTTAATTTGTACAACTTCTCATTCAACCTGTGCAACAAAACAGGTCATATATTTTGTATGATAAAATTTATAAAATAAGGGTTTAATAATACACATGAGAAGAGGGGCCTTATATCTGAATCCATAAAAATATTTCTAGAGAAGCAGTGGATGTTTAAGTTTGCATATATTTTTGAAGAAAAAAAATACTTATAAGACTAGGACGCAGGTCGATGGAAAGGTCATTGCCACAAAAAATAAAAGAAAATACACGACTAATTTTAGGACAAGAGCGGCTTCCAGTTTCTAGAAGTTACTAATCACTTTGAGATCGGTTAGATAGAGTCTGTTTTGGTCAGGTTTTCTTTTTTTCTTCAGAGGGTGTATGTAATAGAAAATGTGTCACTTTTTCTTTAGAATATTGACCGGGATCAAACGAGTCTAGCCTACATCTATTTTTTAATTCCGTGTTTGACGTTTTCATGAATATTTTTAACTATAATAATGAAGAAATATTAATATTTTTTCTTCCAAATATTTTTTTCGGTGATTTTTTTAAATTGTTAAAATGCATTTTATTTGTTAGATATTATATGGAATGGTACATACGAAGTTGGGAAAAAGTATTTTCTTACGGTAGAAGCATGCAATGGTGCAAAACTGTGTCTGTCAGTCTCGTCAGATGGTATTTTACTGGATAACTCACCTCCTATACATGGTATTGTCAAAGTTGGCACCGGGGTACAGCATCAAAAATACGTTCCGACAGGGTAACGATCCTAAAAATATTTTAAATGAAACAATAACGCTTCTTATGAATTACGTAATTTTAATTGTTTCTGTAAAACATATACTGATTTTAAAGTATTATACGAATATGAATGACATTTTAAATGAAATCCTAGTTTTCTAGGAATGTCTAACAACAAATAAACTATGATTACATGTAGCTACTATGCATTACTGTTGAAGTCTGATTAAAGGATGCATAAGGGCCTAAATATGAGCATGCATAAAACACTGTCTCCTTGGTACAGGTTCACACAAATAAAACATGAAACATTATAAATATTCTTCCCTGTTTGGCGATCTGGACGATCGGTTGTTTTTTTTTTTAGAAAAGCTTAGACCTCTGCATTACAAGTTTTAGAAGGTACATAATACTTTTAGTAAATTGTCATAATTTTTTAAAATCTATTTAGAACTCTTTTGCAGAGAATCCGTGCATATCCGATGGGTTGGTTATGAAGACCCACAGTCAGGTATAGATCATTATGAGTATTGCCTAGGAACTAAGCCTTTATTATGCGATGCGTTATCATTTCAACCTTGCTTACTCGAGTCTAGCATTATTAAGACTGGATTAAATCTAACACATGGCGACTCATATTATGCATCTGTGAAAGCTTTTAACAGAGTTGGATTGAGCGTTACAACCGTCTCAGATTCCTTTACAATTGATAATACACCGCCTGTGATAATAGAAAACCGACATTTAATACCGATGGCATGGCAGGATTAGAGGCCCAATGGGATAGATCTGTGTTAAAAATTACCTGGAAATTTATTGATGATGAAAGTAAAATTGCCTTTCACATAATCACATTGAAAACTCATCACGAAGGACATACACCTGTAGAGCATATGCATTTAGGTAATGTTGATTCATTGACAATAGGTCTTAATGAGACCAATTGGCTTCATAACGGAGATAAGTATTTCGTTCTCATTACAAGCTGTAACTCTGCTGAACTTTGCACGGCAAGCCAATCAGAAAATCTACTTATAGATTCTTCTCCACCTCACCAAGGAGGTTTCAAGCCACCAATGACATGGCGTCATTTTATTGATGCATCAAGTCATGCCAGATCTAAAATTATGATAACATGGTATGGCTTTGTTGATGCAGAATCAGCTATAGATACGTATTTCTTAACGGTTAGTCGAAGTTATAGTGGGGATGAGCTTTCCGGTGGAACTATAGCTAGACTTGCAAAAAAATGCTTTAGATGAAAAGAATACTACAATCGTTCTCAGCGATTCGCTTAGAGAAGACGAGTCCTTGATAATTACTATATGGGCGAGGAATAAAGCTGGTCTGAATAGTTCTCTGTTGAAAGAATTACTGTTAGTGTACTAGTGTCAAACAAAGGAATTTCTAAAAACATGTCCGGTGTGTTTAGAAATTCAAAAACATTCGTGCGACATACACTACTGTAACAAAGATTGCACATGCGCAGTTCTTGGCAGCCCGTGCGTAGATGTTCAAATTAATCAAAAAATGTACAAATCTGAACAAAACTGACGTGATAAGTTTTTAATTATCCAGAGATAGATGTCTTTGGTGGACTTAACAGTAACCGTCGGGACATTACGGAGTCATCAGCTTGCCTGTCTGCTCATTGGATACCACAGGGTGACGATAGTATGATTCAAAGATACGAGTGGAGCATGGGTATCATGAATGAACCTGTTGGTGTAGGAATATTAGACTTAAAATCTGAGACACCGTGGAAAGATGTTGGAAAACAGGTAGAAACAGTTTACTGTGTATCCACAAGCTCGGGTCTTCAGCATGACATTGACTACCAAGTTTATGTCAGGGCTTGGTATACTTGGAATACATTTGCGGTTTTTGTTTCTCCACCGATCCGCATTGACCACACACCGCCCCACCATGCAAAAGGGAAGAATATCAAAGATTCAGATGGAACATGTTTATTTGATTTTGATGTAATTGACTGGATGGATTCAATGACTGCTTGTTGGGATAAAGTTTTTTGCCGATTCACAGGGGGAAAAATAATCTATTATACAGTTTCATTGGGAACCACAATAAACGGTTTGTATAAATAATAATTATTTGTTTAAATATTTTTGATGTGCTATCCAACATTATAGTAAAAGTGATATTTTTGATGACAAATACTTCATCATTAAGCAAATGTTATACAGTAATCTTTAAAAAAAAATGTAATGAATAAAATATATACGAGAACGTTCGAACCATGTCACTTCGGTAAGTTTATCAACATAACGCGTCTCAAGTAATTTCCCATTGTTTAATTCAGCGTACATACTTTAACTATAATTTTGAAATATTTTGGAAATGTTTTAGGGAGCGACATATACGAAGTGAAAAATGTTGGACTTGCAACCAATATTACAGTATCGAATCTAAAGCTTTCTCATGGAACCCATTACTACTTTACCGTCACAGCTTACAATAGCGTTGGTTTGCATACAACATTATGTTCGGATGGATTCCTCATAGATATGGATACACCAGTTACAGGTGTAGTCTTCAACACAGACAATCATTTAGATTCTGTTTTCCAATCATCAAAAACATCATTTGGTATATCTTGGCACGGCTTTGTTGATCGTCAGTCTGGCGTTCAGTCCTATTTTGTTGCAGTTGTTGACAATTCTGTTACTAATTACACAAATGTAACATTTTTAGATGTTAAACTGAAAAATAAGCATGTCTTTCACGATATTGATCTTCAACACGGAAAGTTATATAAGGGCCTTGTAAAGGCTGTAGATAAGGCAGGACATTCAACAGATGCGGTATCTTCAAAACCAAAATTAATTGATGAAACGGCGCCAAGATCATTCGAATGTGACCAATATCAAAACCAAAGAATTTTACTACATGAGAAAATACCATCTACAAACGGTACAATATCGTTCAGCAGAAATATGAGCAGCAATAGAAATTACATTTTGAAAGGAATTCTCACAGGTTCTTCAAGATCAATTAAACCAATATTATCATTTGGTAGAAACTCTCATTAAGTTGCCAGTAACTATAAATAACAATAACACGGTTGAATTCCAACATGACTTTATATCAAATTATTTTGGGATTGTTCTATTTGAAATATCTGGACTTGAAGCCTTGTCATCGGAAACCAACTTCTCGATTGATATTAAATTGTCCAAGTGTATCTTAGATAAAAGGGGGAACGGTAAAGGCTTAACAGTCAGGCAAATTGGTTCATCAAAATTATTGGTGGACATAAAGATTGTAGATGAAGACAGTTCACTTTACAAGGTATCTGTTAATATGTTTAATATTCAACAATATGACAAAAGTCGATTCTTTGATGAAAAGGTTATCATATAAGGCGACATTTATATACAAAAGAGTAAGATTTTTAGTTTGTATTCATGCGAGGATTGCAAACTGTAGTTTTGTAAGAATTATAATAGATCTAAAAAAAAGGAAAGAAAAGATTCAATTCATTTACTAGTATATAGCTTTTCTTAAGTCTCACCAATACTATAATGGCCATATGACAACTTTCTAGATTTATTTGTGGAGGAAGATCTCGTATCTGGGTAGAATCACCAACGTTCTTTAAGGTAACAGGATATTTTTTTTTTCAAATAAAAGAATCCACAGTCGCTTGCAGGTTTCGAACCCAATGCGGTTAGGGATTACAATACAACGACTATAACAACCCCCCCCCCGTATGCATTTATCATTCATTTTCTAAATATTACGATCATATTAATAATAGCGATTGCAGCATTTTAGATATTATTATGGTGTACGGTTTGTTATTATAAAATCATACCTACTATTTTAAGGTTCAGTTAGGACTCGGAACCTCTCCAGGTGGATTTCAGATAAAACCATTAACAGTGGTACATGTGGATTCAAGCAGATATATTGACGTGGACGTTCAAAATGGCGCTAACATATATGGTACTGTACTGGCAGAAAACCATGCTGGATTAAAATCAGTTTTTAAGTCAGCACCGATAACAATGGATAAAACACCGCCTTTGATATCACAAATCCAACATAAATTGACAGCTAATTCTCTTAAAGTCAGTCAATCAAATACAACGTTTCGACTTCAAGTAAAATGGGATGTCACAGACAAAGAAAGTGGTGTGAAATACTGCCTTTGTCGTATAGGTAATGTTTTAGTTAACAGCTTATTTAACCAGTGGCAGATAGATTCAAAAAGGATTTAATGAACTAAAATGCATCGCTTCGACCTAATTTTAAATTCTATAATGAATTGTTTATGGGCAAGTTAATTTTGTATCTATGATGTATTTGTAGATTAAGGATTCTTAGATGAAATGAATCTATTGAAATTGGTTTTGATAAAAGTTGTTTCTGTCACTTAGATTTTATCAATTTTTATTCAGGGAAACACCTCGACATGGAATATGTTGAAGGATACAGATTATCTGATACAAGCGAAACTTGTCTATTCAATGGGTTAAACTTACAACATGGCGACCTTATCTTTGTGCATATAAAATGTATTAACAACGTTGAACTGGCTACTGAAAAGGTTTCCAAAACAATACCGGTGTCAATTGATGCTCCTGACAGCAGTCTTGCTGCTGTTAATTTTATTTCTGCGGACAAAAGCTTTCACGATGGATATCGTAGAAACAACAACACGACGGCTATTTCCGGCAACATACCATTCATACAGACTGACCGTTCCCGTCTTAAATTCGAATGGATAGGATTTGAGGACATGACAGGCATCGATTATTATGAATATCGACTTGTATGTCAGAATGATACTATTCTTGACTGGAAACGTAATGGGAAACATACAGTTGCAGAATTAAACGGTGTTGATTTACATTCTGGAATGATGTACACAGCCGAAGTAAGGGCTATCAATTATGGCCTACATGCAAGTAACCCTGTCATCTCACATGTGGTTGTTCATAACGAAGAACCTAAGCTTACAGGTATGTTCTAGAACTCATATACGGAACTGGTGATTATAACAAAATATATACTACAATAGTTCAAACATGTATACTTTAATTTTCTCGCTTGTAAAGTCGAAAACTTAAAACGCTAAAAACTAAATCCGTATTTGAAATACACAAACTGTTTATTTCCAGGTAAACCTTTGTCAGTTACCAGAAGAAACCAATTTGTTCTTTTCGACTGGAATGACGTGTTTAGATTAGTTGACGAAATCTCAGTAACATACGATGTCACTGTGGGAACAAAATCTGGCTATTCAGACATTCTTGAATTGAAGAGTACCAAACTGAATAAATATAAAGCCATTGTTCCGCAATCAACAATTATTGCTCCTGACATCCGGGAACTTTTCATCTCCGTCCGATGCTTATATTCGACAGGGTTATTTACCTTTTACCAATATAATTATAAACTGTAAGTTATATGGACACGATTAGAAACGAAGACCGTTCAATCCATGCATTAATAATATTTTAATCAAATGTTTACATTATGAACACGTTTGAATTTATGTATGTATGGTCTATAAGATACTGTACAGTTCTTAATTGTCCTTTCCATTCTCACAAACCTTACTTCGGGTAAGAATTCATGTCACATTTAAGGGCTATAATTTTTCAACATAACTTTGGAAATATTTTTAATGGTAAATAAAAAACTTAAGTTTTGGGATTTATATTCCAAATGTTTTTAAAGAAACAATATATGTGTTTAATATACAAAAAGTTATTCATAAACAAAAAAATTCAAAATCGACAAAGAAATGGTGAAAACATTTAACAGGTCCTTTATCAAAAAATAATGTATATTTAAACAAAAAAATAAATAAAAAAGGGATTTTAAAAAAGTGAATAGACGATAACGGCATATTTTTCATGTATTGCTTTATTAATGATACTCAAAAACTGAATAAAATTTAAGAAATCCCTATTTTCGCAAATTTTCCCCAGCAAAAAGCCCCTTTTTTAAAATTTGCAAAATTTTGTGACGCTAAAAATCCAATTTATACAGTATTTTAAACAATTTAATTCAAACAGTTTTTTTAAGAAATTCATGCCGAAAAAAACAGTCATCAAAAACTTAAAAAATATGCAAACATAGTTCTTGTATTCTTTGAAAACGAATAGAAATATTGTAATATATTCAGACATAGTGTCGTGAACATTTGAATGCGTTTGCATTTTATTAAAGTATGTCTTCTTTAAAAAAAATGTTCGTTAAACATGACCGAGGCGTGTAATTTTAATAGTGATAATGACTCATAAAGGATGAGTGGTGTTTCTTACATGAATGTCAATCTGCATATAGCTCATCTATATAAAAGTTTTCTTTTCCGTCCAATAACAGTAATTTCTTAATTTCCCAGTGTTTGCTTTTATGATTATTTAAGCCACTTACAATAATAATTGTAGACAATCAATCGGATACTGTATTATTTGACTCTTAATAGTTGTTTTCTTCTTCTTTGTTTTCATTCTTATCTCAATTGGTGTTCTGTTCGATTCAATCCGTCCACATATATATTTTCATTTTTATTGCGTGTGTGTCACATATCGAAAACACTTACAACAATAGTTTGTTTTACTGTAATATCTACTGTATATGTATATGCCTTTTGATAGGTATTTCAAAGGACATTTTTTTTAACATTCGTGATGTTTCGTGATATATACCTTCCAGTTATGTATTAAAATGGTCAAGGAGTGCTAGAGCCTACCTGTTTTAATGCTGTGTGTACATGCATAGTATATATAATGTGCAAAAGGAATTTGTATATTTGTATTATTAATGTAAATATAATCAGAGAGCAATTTAAAACAGTTTCGTTTTTACTTTTTTTACCTCCATTATTCTGAGCCGTTTCTACCCACTCGGTCACACTTAAGAGACCCTGAATTTGTAAGTGTAAGTCTTAGACGAAGGCGTGTGTTTCTATGGCCATTATGTTGTTTTCATTTTATTCCTGTACATAGTTTGATTGCTATACGACATTTATCGTATGTACATATACGGCCAAAAAGGTATAAGAGAGTTGTAACTCAGTATCAGTATCAGAAACTCAGTATCAGTAACAATAACACACTTTAAAAAAACTATTAAATAAGATACTCATGCATGTCCATTTTAATTCATTTGAATAAAGTCACATCTAAAACATGATATTATTTTATATAAACTGTTCTAGAAACAATTGATAAATAACTCTAAAACAGGCGATTGGTAAACTTTGTGTTTTTTTCGCTCTTGTGTCCACTCACGGTTTTGTGCTTTCTGGTTGCCCTGCTGTGGTGGCTTAGGTGATTCGGGGGCTGCGTCCGGTGAACATTGCCTTTGGCTTGTTGATCTTTATTCTCGTTTTTTGTGCAAGAGACAGTTATTTATATAATACCATAGCAATTGAAAATCTACTTTGCATTCTATGAAAATGAACTGTTTCTCATTCCAGTTTACGGTGTATTTCAGTTTTAGCGTAATTACCTTTTTAACTTATTTTTTTCGCACAATTATGTTTGAGAAAAAGCCCAAATTTATTCCGTATTACAAAGTCCGTTTAGGATAGAAACGTGTATTAAGAGTTTTTTCCATCCATTATCAGAACAGTTTTGATGTGAAGTGTATTGTGCAGATACAGGATTATACGGGTATCAAATTTCCATTCAAATTGCTACAAAAATTTCCCTAATTCTTGATAACAAAAGGGAAGAGGAAATTATCATTTAATTGGATTATTAAATATTGAAGTTATCTGGACTATATGTTTTACATTGCTTTTTCTTTTATCAGAACAATATTATGTAATGCAATTCCAACACAATGTAACCATACATTACATTGCAAAACAGCAGTAACACACAACAAGCCCTAACAGTATAATTATTACATATTTCATACTATTTCATAAATTGGAATATACGGTGTAGTACATACATTACAATCTCCAAAATAACGTTAATCCAATCTATCAATAGATATGTCTATGGAAATATTCCATGAACTATATCTTTCCTAAACAAATTATATGCAAATGAAATACATATTTAAATGTATTAAAAACATATTGTAATTGCATCTAAATACCACTTAAGTATTTACTATTAAATCAATATACAATACATTGTAAATGGTTAACTTTAAATAAAATGTAGCTCCAAAACATAACACCCCAGTTACACAGAGCCATCGGTGATTGATCGATAGTTTTTTAGACAAATTATGGAGTGAACCGATGACAACGTATTTAACACCGATATCACCTATTGGTCACCTGTTTTCCACCTATCAACTGCTATTGGGGAAAGATAAGTTTCATCGGTGAAAAATTACCGATTGGGATTTTTAAACATGTATAAAATTCTCGATCGGTGAAAATAGTTTACAAATAACCGACAGCAACCTATATCACGAGATATGCAAGCTCTTAATCACCGATATCGCCGATCGGACAAAGATAACCAAATATGAATCACCGGCCATATCAGACGGAAAGTGTTTAACCACTAATGACTAGCTATCAAACACTGATTTATCAGCGTTACGCCCGATTTAGCTCCGATTTACAAACGATAACAACCGATAGTATTTCAGCATTTTTATCACCGATCCAACCCCGTATGAGTTTGCTTTCTGTCACCGATGCCGTTGACACAGAAAACCAGAAATAAAATAACGCATGACAACCGATCAGCAAGTAAATTTAAAATTAAATGACCGATTGGGGACCGATCGTCTGTGTAACTTGGGCTATTTAAAAACAATGACTTATAAACATATGTAACAATTAAACCGATTGTGGAACTGATTTTCTGTAACTCTGTGATGTTAATTGTCTGTAAAATAAAAAGATCATTGCATAACAAATAGAAACAGTGATTTCTAGGAATTCGTGTAGGATAAGAAAGTATGCTGCAATCTTGTTTCTAACACTCAAGAATGATACAAAATTAACTTAATAACCTTAAATAATCCGTAAATGTTTTTTATTATAATAATTATGGCCTAATTTAGTCGAAATTGTTACTTTTTAGAACAAATGAATAAAACATACCAATACTTATTCATCAATCATTCTTTGCTAGTTGAAATACATCTACTTTATACACAAAGATATGACCCAAGAATGACCCTAACTTTGAAGCTGATTGTTTAAAGGGACATA